ACGCACGCACGCACGCACGTACGCACGTACGCACGCGCGCGCACACGTGTGTGTGTGTGTGTGTGCGTGTGTGTGTGTGTGTGGGTGTGTGTGCGTGTGTGGGTGTGTGTGTGTGTGTGTGTGTGTGCGCGTGTGTGTGTGTGTGCGCGCGTGTGTGTGTGTATGTGCGTGCGTGTGGCGGGGGCCAGCTTCAGCATAGCTGTAAACCGATGCGAACCACTACGAGCAACGCCATTAATTTCGTTTGGACAGCGGCGTCCTTGAGCTATTTAGCGGCGTACACAACACATGGTGACATATTTGTCCTTCAATGTGTTTGTGCGTTGTCCGCATGGGCATGTTTACGAGCGTGTGCATGGGCATGGGGGGAGTGTGGGTGTGTATGTGGGTGTGGGTGTAGGTGTGTGAGGGTGTGTGGGTGGGTGTAGGTGTAGGTGTGTGTGGGTGTGTGCGGGTGTTTGCCCGGGTATTGGTGTACGCTAACGTTACCATTTTAAACCTTTCAAACAAAACAAAAAAAACATGGTTTTCCAGCCACTTTATTAGCTTTTATTCTCTTGGTTTTCCAGGCTCTTGTCAGCCTCTTTATTATTATTTCGTGGCCCTCTATTCACAGTGAGGATTCATCACCCCCCCCACTGGGACGTTAGCTCCTCTATCGGGATCCGTGCCGCGGACAATGGCTGGTGCCGCATATGTTATAGACAAATTCATAATGGCAAGCGAACACCATATTTAGACTGCCCATACAACAAATTAAAATACAACATAAGCATATACAACAGAAATACTGTTTTCAGAGTAATCAATATTAACTTTATTCGTAACAAACGTAAACATAACAAGTACGATCATGATAAACTGATAACAAAAAAGAAATCGTTAAATGATTAACGTGTCGAATATATACAAACATCAATCAATAATTAATATATAACTTTTGGTATGTGAGAACATGCAGAGGCTTATGGGGGACGATAATGATCTTTGTGCATCTATGACTTACTAGCATTAAAATGTACCTTAACATTTCCATGAATGTGCTATAACCACTCACTGGCAATATAACTACTGTTCTACTAACCTTTCCAATAGAAGCCGGCCATTAATATTAACGGTAATAGACATTTCTATGAAGAACATTATCATATTTTCCTTTGGTATATCAAGATCTATAATCCATTAATAACGTTAATAAAATGTTAAGCCTAATGTCTTATGCAATATGTCTCCCGCGTGATATTGTATAAAAATCGTTTACAATTTACAATACACGCGTGTATTGTTAGCTATTATTATTCGGTTATACGTGCTCGACGTAAACGCAAGTTCAAGTAACATCTACACGGTTTATATACGTAACCAACATTTCAAGTTAATTTAGTGCAACATTAATTCCATGCAATTTTTGGTATACTCATTAACCATTAGCGCTCGTTTCTGTATTTGTTGGTACCATTTAGTGTTTCCAAAACATTATTAAGGACGCACATATAATGAGATCATAGGGATTATATACCAGTGCCTGTTACCGTTATAGTATATAAACTCTTCTTCCACCATAATAAATTTTGGGAGCAGGGGATTTGGGCATGATGAAGAATTATAGAAATAATCACAATACTAGGCCCGCAATTAACAATTCGTTACATTAATAAATTAGGTGCATGCGATATTAGCCTAATGTCCGTAGCCGCCTCCGTAGCCCCCACCGAAGCCGCTATCAGAACCGCCACCGTATCCGCCACCAAAATCGCCACCGTATCCGCCACCAATATCGCCACCGTATCCACCGCCGTACCCTCCTCCACCGTATCCACCGCCGTACCCTCCACCACCGTATCCACCGCCGTACCCTCCACCACCGTATCCACCGCCGTGCCCTCCACCACCGTATCCACCGCCATGCCCTCCACCGTATCCACCACCGGTTGAGTAGATGGGATGGCTTGGATAGTATGCTCCGTGAGCGTATGTAGCGTGCGGGTTGTAGTAAGAATATCCATTCTTGTATCCGTATCTTTTGCCTTTGTTGTATACTGACTTGGCGTTGTTATAGTCGCGATCTTCGTTCTTGTTATTGTAACTAAAACATAATAGCAAGCACGTTTGACGTCGTTGCGTGATGCCTGTTCAGTTACTACCACGCGTCGTATATTTCCTTAAGGCATCTGTTAAAGGAATCTGTCATATAATCTAGTAGCTGATATGCTATTAAGCAAATCGCAATTCGAAACATCACATAGAATCGGCAACGCAAACTTACGCGGCGTTGTAGTTGTTCCTCAGTGCGTTCGACGTCTGATAACCCTGCTGCCCGTACAACTTTCCACCTTTGAAGAGGCCTCTCCTGTACTGCCCATCATACTTCTGGCCGTAGTTGTTCCCGTAGCCCTTATTACCGTACGTATTGGAATAGGCAGTGCCTAGACCCGGTATAAACGACGTGTGGTGGGCTGGAGCTACTGCATATGCGGCGCAAACCTTAGTGAAACATGAAAGAAACAGTCACAGTTAGAGGCACTCTCACATTTGTTCACAGTCGCAGTAGATCCTAATTCTATTGTGTATAATAATGTACTTTCTCTGGAGACAGAGGGAAGAAGAAGGGGTGAGGGAGAGAAAGAAAGAGAGAGAGAGAGAGAGAGAGAGAGAGAGAGAGAGAGAGAGAGAGAGAGAGAGAGGGAATTCAGCCTGGTGAAATGCGGATGTTTAGTACTGCTTGAGGCAACAATAAATGATATTTCCGCATTGAAGAAATCTGAACGCAGTTTATTGCTGTATAAATCTACTTATCATTGACGTTATTGTACAACTTAGTTTAAGAACAACATACTGCTGGGATTGTTCAACCGAATACGTCTGTTAGCGTTATTTGTTAGCTAGACATCGGTACAATTTATGAAACAAGTTATAATTGGTGTTATAAAATAGCGTCTAATATTGTTTTCCAGCAACGAACACATATTTGGTAGAGCTTATACTTTGCGTCATGCCGGATAAAAATTTAGCGTGATAATTATTGAACGATTTTCGCAAATAATGTTACATATTAAATTTTGTTGAAAACCATTTGTGAGAACACTTACCAGACAAAGAAGCCCAAAGCTGGCTAATCCGTAATTCATGTCTGCGTTTGTTCCTGTCAGGGACAAATTCATGATTATAGGCCTAATACATTAGTATAAAACTAGATTATATATAGAATTTGAATATTAATAACGAATTACAATTAGCATCATGGCGTATAACATTAACTTCATACTAAATCCTAAAATTAATCAGGCATTCTTCACTACAATGCAATTTAATCTGTGTAAATCCAATTGAGTTACAATGTGTGATACATCTATACGGCATACAGCATTACAATATTTGCATTGCTTACAAATCGGATCCTCTTATTGTCGAGCTAGCGAAGCTAGTTTCTCTTACCTGAAGATGACAGCTTAGCACACCCGTTTCAACTGTGGCGAATACGTTCAACTACTGCAAGCACTTTCTCCCCCGATAGTCTTATACCAACTCGGCATCAGGTTGGCCGACATTCGCACCCACGAACCGTATTAGACAATGGCGCGGCCAAACCTCGGCTGGATAGACAGGGCGGTGGATACGGGACACTAGGTCAACCAAATGGTCACCAAGCAATAATTTCATCATATGAAATTCATTTGTATTCAAGGATTGCCTTGTATGGCGTGCTAGCCTCAACAGCGATGCAGTTCACGATGACAATGGGGCACGGCAAAATGTTGCGCGACGGTTATGTCATAGTTATGTGGGTCAGACACTGGTTAACGAGTCCCACCGCGCGCCTGCACCTTTGACTTTAGCGATACTGCTGACCACAGATGCACCCACAAAACTCTGCGATGTTCGACGTGAGACGGAATGTAAGAATAAAAGGGTGAAAGTTGATTGGAACAATAACTAGCGCGCATGAAAACTGTTGCGTTCGCTGCTGAAACGGGTAGCTACGTTTTCCCTTTCGAACTGTTCGCAATCGTGGTGTATACGAGTTTAACGTTAGCATATGAATAGCCTTAAACAAAGTGTATATAAGCAGAATTGGCAATGTAAAATGTTCAATCTTGAGTTAAAAATATATTTTCAGTGCTAGCAGAATACGATGTTTGCGTGTCATAAGCATTTAAGTAAGGACTTTTTCAGGATATTCGAACTTTGTATTACATAAATGAGAAGAAATAGGGTTTATATCTACATTTTTAATCATGTTACTTGATAACCAGCGTGTCGTGTGTTTCGCTATCAGTGTATATTATACATAAATTAAATCTAGAAGTAACAAACCTAATAACGTTAGATAATTTCAAGCCTCAGATTACGAGGTGTTAGATAGACATGACCAGCTTAGGCCCACTAAAAAGCTTTGACTGTACATTATAAGTTACCATACGTGTCGTTGGATTATCATCGTTCGTTCTACGTTTTACGGTTATTTACATGTCTCATATCATCTGAATATATGCTTAATTGTCGAGAGTGAGTCAGCGCGTGTGCGTGAAAGAGAGGGAGAGAGAGATAGAGTGTGTGTGTTTGTGTTTGTGTGTATGTGTGTGTGTGTGTGTGTGTGTGTGTGTGTGTGTGTGTGTGTGTGTGTGTGTGTGTGTGTGTGTGTGTGTGTGTGGGT